GTATCCTTTCCAGGAGGTGCCAGGGATTGAAATGGGGATATTCTGCATGCAAACCAGTTGCTCTACAACTGAGCTACAGGCCTTCACACAAGTGTGTATACTACTGAATGTCAAAAGCTGATCGTGCCTCATGAGAACATAACAAGAGGCTGCTGGATCAAGCCAACGACCCGTTTAATCCTGAATCCTTTTCTCACAGGGGCAAACCAGATGCCCATGGGAAGCCCATGAAAAGGACACAAGTGCAACGACCCTCTCCTCACCTGTGATTTTCAGCAACTGCTCTTCAGAGAGATATTGCCTCAGCATTAGTATTTCTATTAACCAGTGACTGCAAGTTTCCAATTCTTGAGAGTGTTTCTCATCCTGAACAAGGTCACTGCAAGATAACGTCTGGGCCTCTCTTTTTTCTGAGCAATAATTTTTGAGATATATCATCTTGCCTTATTTTTCTAGAAAGGGGTGTAAATTAGATTTTCAATCTGATTTCAGAAATGATGTTATCAAAAGGGAAGTGGGGAAGATGGAAGGAGACTAGTGGATATTGCAGCCATCATTTTAAATGTCCTTCAGCAAGCCACACTGTAATACTCAAAATGTCACAAGTCTGCTCCTCACAATCTTTAATTAAACATCACATTGGAAAAGGTCATTGTGCTCTGCCTTGCTGCTGCCCACACACTGCTAGCTTGATGGCAGTGAAAGCAAACTGCAGTAAACAAGGTTTCTACTGACATGAAAAGAGCAAGACCAAAGTCCTTTCATTAAGATTTGACACTGTGGCTATAAATGCATGTACAGGTGAAACTCGAAAAATTAGAATATTGTGGAAAAGTTCATTTATTTCAGTAATACAACTTAAAAGGTGAAACTTATATATGAGATAGACTCATGACATGCAAAGCGAGATATGTCAAGCCTTTATTTGTTACAATTGTGATGTTTATGGTGTACAGCTGATGAAAACCCCAAATTAGCAATCTCAGAAAATTAGAATATTAAATGAAATCAGCAAAGCAAGGACTGCAAATAGAACAATATTGGACCTCTGAGAAGTAGAAGCATGCACATGTACTCAGTACTTGGTTTGGACCCCTTTTGCATCAATTACTGCCTCAATGTGGCGTGGCATGGATGCTATCAGCTTGTGGCACTGCTGAGGTGTTATGGAAGACCAGGAAGCTTCAATAGCAGCCTTCAGCTCTTCTACATTGCTCGGTCTCATGTCTCTCATCTTTCTCTTGGCAATGCCCCATAGATTCTCTATGGGGTTCAGGTCAGGCAAGTTTGCTGGCCAATCAAGCACAGTAATCCCATGGGCATTGAACCAGGTTTTGGTACTTTTGGCACTGTGGGCAGGTGACAAAGTCCTGCTGGAAAATGAAATCAGCATTCCCATAAAGCTCGTCTGCGGAAGGAAGCATGAAGTGCTCCAGAATCTCTTGGTAGATGGCTGCGTTGACCCTGGACTTAATGAAGCACAGTGGGCCAACACCAGCTGATGACATGGCTTCCCAAATCAACACAGACTGGAAACTTCACACTGGACTTCAAGCACCTGGCATTGTGTGCCTCCCCATTCTTCCTCCAGACTCTGGGTCCTTCGTTTCCAAGTGAGATGCAAAAGCTGCTCTCATCAGAAAAGAGATTTGGGGAGCCATGTCATCAGCTGGTGTTGGTCCACTGTGCTTCATTAAGTCCAGGGTCAACGTAGCCGTCTACCAGGAGATTTTGGAGCACTTCATGCTTCCTTCCGCAGACAAGCTTTATGGGGATGCTGATTTCATTTTCCAATAGGACTTTGTCACCTGCCTACACTACCAAAAGTATCAAAACCTGGTTCAATGCCCATGGGATTACTGTGCTTGATTGGCCAGCAAACCCACCTGACCTGAACCCCATAGAGAATCTATGGGGCGTTGCCAAAAGAAAGATGAGAGACATGAGACCGAGCAATGTAGAAGAGCTGAAGGCTGCTATTGAAGCTTCCTGGTCTTCCATAAAAACCTCAGCAGTGCCACAAGCTGATAGCATCCATGCCATGCCGCATTGAGGCAGTAATTGATGCAAAGGGGCCCAAACCAAGCACCGAGTATATACACATGCTTCTACTTCTCAGAGGTCCAATATTGCTCTATTTGCAGTCCTTGTTTTGCTGATTTCATTTAATATTCTAATTTTCTGAGATGGTTAATTTGGTGTTTTCATCAGCTGTACGCCATAAACATCACAATTATAACAAATAAAGGCTTGACATATCTCGCTTTGCATGTCATGAGTCTATCTCATATATAAGTTTCACCTTTTAAGTTGTATTACTGAAATAAATGAACTTTTCCACAATATTCTAATTTTCTGAGTTTCACCTGTAACTGTAGAAGAATGACAAGAGTTTATAGAATGCTTTCTCTAAGCGCTGCACTCATATTATTTCAGTAACTCTTGCAACGGCCCTATAAGGATTGACAAGCATAATTAGCCTGCTAATGCGGATGGGGAATTAATATGGTGAAACAAATGCAAGGCCTCCCATGGAATTCATGGTACAATTGAAATTTTAGCAGGGAACTTCTAGTTCATGTTTTAAACCAGGTATGGGGACCTTTGCGCCTCTACGTGTTGTTGGACTTGCTTCACGTCTCATCAGCCACAGAAACCATGGCCAAGATTAGAGATGATAAATGATGCAGTTTGCCAACATTTGGCAGACCACAGGTTCCTCATCCTTGCATTATTTTGTTTATTGATTTGATTTATATATCTCCCTTCATCATAAGAGCCAAAGGCCTGGTTGAAGAGGAACGCTTTTGCCTGATACTTAAAAAATACATAAGGAAGGCACCAGGCAAACCTCCTTGGTGAGAGCATTCCACTAATGGGGAGCCACTACAGAGAAGGCCTGTTCTCATGTTACCACCCTCTGGACCTCACGCATTACATGATAGCAGGGTGAGTATAACTGCTAAATGACTTAAGAGGCTGAGAGAAGAGAGAAGTGAGTCCTTGGAGATATCGTGGGATGGTGTTGCCCATGATCTCAGGGGCTGCATCTAACTAGAGAGGGAAGAGATGTGCTTCCATTTGATGTAGAAACCTTTCTAATCCCAGATGTCTTCATGCATCTGTTGCAAAAGAAAGAGGGTGAAATTGCACACACCACTCCCGACAGGAGCTGATTTTAGATATATATATATATATATATATATTTGCTTTCGTAGATTTTCACGGGTACAGGAATGCAGGTTTTGGTGTTCTCGGGTGTCTTCCCGTGTAAAAGTTGGGGTGTCTAGGCGACGTTTCGACGAGGTCTCACTCGTCATCTTCAGGCTGGTGCTTTCGGCTTCTTGTTACTGGAACAGAGCAGGATCTCAGTGTTTGAGTTCCTATAAATACTGTTGAGGGGGTGTGGTGTATAGCCTCCAATGTTCTGGGCAGAGAGGAAGTTCCCAGGCTAGTGTGCCTTTTCTTCTTTTGTTCCTTAATTACTTGAGGGATATCTTGAGTGATTTCTTGAGTGATATTCTGAGTACCACTTAGGTGGGTCATTAGGTGTGGATTAGTTGCTAAAGCCTTCGTGTCTTGACCTCTTGAACTTTGTGAAGAGTTTTTCTGAGAAGATGGTTGTACTGCACTTAGTTGTGCTCTGGCTTGGCTTCGTGTATAGGGGCGAGCTGTGGTTTTGTGTCCTGTGCCAGCCAGATCTGTGTAGGGATTGCAGGGGGGTGCAGCATCCGGAGGTGCCACCATGGTTTGGCTACTGGATGGTGTCTGTAATTTATCTGTGGAGAGGGTCTGGGTTTGGGTCTGGTGTGGTTGATTGGTGATGGCGTTCTGTGTGCCTCTGGATCTGGTGTCGGTTTTTGTGGGGAGGGCTAATTTCCAGATGTCTGGCAGGCGGGATGTGTCGTCACGCTTGTGACGACACATCCCGCCTGCCAGACATCTGGAAATTAGCCCTCCCCACAAAAACCGACACCAGATCCAGAGGCACACAGAACGCCATCACCAATCAACCACACCAGACCCAAACCCAGACCCTCTCCACAGATAAATTACAGACACCATCCAGTAGCCAAACCATGGTGGCACCTCCGGATGCTGCACCCCCCTGCAATCCCTACACAGATCTGGCTGGCACAGGACACAAAACCACAGCTCGCCCCTATACACGAAGCCAAGCCAGAGCACAACTAAGTGCAGTACAGCCATCTTCTCAGAAAAACTCTTCACAAAGTTCAAGAGGTCAAGACACGAAGGCTTTAGCAACTAATCCACACCTAATGACCCACCTAAGTGGTACTCAGAATATCACTCAAGAAATCACTCAAGATATCCCTCAAGTAATTAAGGAACAAAAGAAGAAAAGGCACACTAGCCTGGGAACTTCCTCTCTGCCCAGAACATTGGAGGCTATACACCACACCCCCTCAACAGTATTTATAGGAACTCAAACACTGAGATCCTGCTCTGTTCCAGTAACAAGAAGCCGAAAGCACCAGCCTGAAGATGACGAGTGAGACCTCGTCGAAACGTCGCCTAGACACCCCAACTTTTACACGGGAAGACACCCGAGAACACCAAAACCTGCATATATATATATATATATATATATATATATATATATATACACTGAAGGTAGGAACATGATGCCCTTGACATCATCTGCTGCCCAAACAACTACTTCACATAACTTTGCCATAGATGCAACTTGTAAATGAAAACATTTTTTAAACGTAAGGCCTATGGCAGGGTTAAAGGAAAGTGTCTGTGTCTGCCAGCCTTTGTTGCATTTCCTGGCCCCTCTGTTTGGCTGGTTGGCAAAAGGGTCATGAACCCTTGTTCCAGGAATGTGATTACACTGCCAGTGCTATGTTGTGAGTTCTCTCTCCCTGACCATTGCCTATGCTGACCAAGGCTGATGGGAGGTCATCTCTGTGCTGGGCTATCCAGCTCCTTATGCCCACTTGATATTTTGAAAGGAAACATTTTCCATCAACAGCACCAGTTCTTCATATTTTTATTTAATCCATTGAAAAAAATAGACAGAACTATAAGGTGGGCACATATTGTCAAAGAATATAAAGGTCACATCTCTTTACATAGTCTTGTTTTAGATCCATAGAATAAAAGGAAGAGAATTTTATAGCAAGAGAGACAGACAGAGAGAGACAAAGATGATTTATATCTTTAGTGGAAAGGACAAATCTGTAGGTAAGCGTCAACACAACTGTACTATGATTAAGGATAAGCTCTTTCTATTATCTAGAAAAATAGAAGCATCACATTTAATAGTTTCTTTCAGGCAATCAGATTTAAGGAATGAAGAATCTCTTAGTTTTAAAAAATATGCATGATTCACCAGGAAATGTTCCTGCACAAATCCTATTGGAATTCATGGAAGTTAGGCAACAACATGGAGGAACTTGTCCCGTGGCTTCCCCAGTCCAGAAATTTGCTGCAGGCATAGGGGCTTTGATGCCCTTTTCAACAAAGGGAGCAGATCTACACATGTATTCCTTTGTGTGTGTACATTTGCTCCTACCATTGATGTAAAAGGTCCTTCTTTATGTGCTCAGGAGCTCTGTGTACACTTCAAGAGCTCTGTGTACACAACACAGTGCACAGTGCATGAAGCACAGAACTGGGCTTTTACTGTTCTTATCTCGTACCAATGTGAAATGCACACGCTGTACGGAAAAACAGCCTCAGTTACATTTCTTTTCCTACTGAAAACTTGAGACCAGACCTGCAGGTGGGTTAACTTGGTATACACTTCCACACAAAAGTTTTCTTCTTCTTTTTATAAATGACAGCTTTCAAAATTGCACTTCCCAGAAACAGAAGGCGTTAAATTTGGGGCTCAGCTCACAACAGGATATTTTTCAATCATAATACTGAGAAGTGCCTCTTTCTGATGGTTAGGGAACCATACCTTCTGCCATGCAGTGGCGTAGCGTGGGGGGTGCAGGGGGGGCCGGCCGCACCGGGTGCAACATCTGGGGGTTAGGGTTAGGGGGCACAAATCCACGGGTTAGGGGGCGCAAATCCACGGGTTAGGGGGCGCAAAATACTTGCCTTGCCCCGGGTGCAGACAACCCACGCTACGCCACTGCTGCCATGCAGGTTGCTACAAGAATGCATGGAATTCTAGTGACTGCAATTTGGTAGACACTTACATGGAAAAAAGTCCTACTCAGTGGAACCTCCATCTTAGTAAACGTGCTTAGGATTTCACTGGTAGACTCTAAAGGCTGCTCTTCAGATGACAGTAATGGATGGATTTCTTTACAAAGAAGGGCTTATTATAACTCTTCTATAACAGGACTGGGAAAATATGGAATATCTCGTTAATGATCTGTCATTTCTGTTTAAAAACAAATGAATGATCAGGTGAGGGCATTGACAGGTTCCCATTATGTTCCCACCACAGCAGCTCATGCTGCTGAAGAGAAAAGCTGTCTTTTGGTTTGCAAGACAACTTTCTTCCCCAGTAGTACAAGCACACGTGGAGGAAATGAGAAAGCTGCTCCCATGGTCTGCATGATGGTTCTCTCCAACGTGCACGGATATCGTTTTGTTGGACCTTGGCTATAGAGCCAAGAGAACATAACTTGAAGCCGTCCACAATAAAACAGGTATGAACATGTCAGTTAACTGGAAGCAGCACGAAATGGGTGACAAATTTCAAGGGAAGGGCAATCAAATGGTGCTTTGCAAGGGTTCAATGCAACTATTAAAAATAAGAGAACAACTCATACATTAATGCTTTGTTCAAGCCACTGATGGCTGAACCATCCCCTTCAAGCCATTTCTACCTCCTTCCCAATCTGCTCCTTTCCCCACTGGCTGCAGAGTGCAGTTACACTGCATGGGAAACACAGATTCATACACAGGCCAAAGTTGACCTTTTCAAATTCACAAGATGGGTATGTTTGGAAAGAGAAAACAAACATCAGGTTTCAGATAACGGCTGGACATTTTGAACTTTGGACAACGTGACGGGTATTTTGGATTCTCCAGGCGCCGGGGCTTTGGTGATGGGGTGTGCATGGGCTCTGATGTCTGCAATTCTCTCTTTAAATTTCTGCTGCAGGTACCTTTCTTCTTTGGAGTAGCTTTTAGCAAACGCAGACATCAGCAAGCAGGCCGCCATTGTGGTTCCTCCGATGCAGAACAATATTGCTCCAGCCAACTTGCATATGTCAAGGGCTCTGTTGAACTGCACTGCACGTGTATCCACCACCACAAAATCTTCTACTCCCAGGGCTTCAATTTTGGGCGTCACAAGAAAACCTACGACGAGAACGATGATCCCTGTCAGCATAAACACCGTCCCTGAGATGAGTCCGACCTAGAAGACAAAGAAGATTCAGAAATCAGCAAAGCCGCGACGGCAGTTTTTTGCTTTATTGTTTTCAGTCTTAGCTATTAAATCTACGTGACATGTCACTGACATCTGCCATCACACCAATGAAACGTGCAGTGCCATTGTGAGCCCCTGGAGGCTTCTGTCATGTAGAATTTGAGTCGACAGATGATTTTCACAACCTTAACTGCATCCGCAAGCAGTCAATGGATACACAGACAATGGTAATTCAGCAGGGATGTGGGCAGAAATAGGAAGTGTTCATGTCCATAAATAAATCTGTAGGCTTATAAATATGTGGGTTCCTGAGAAATGGGATCTGAAACACAATTTTGGGAGAGGAAATGGACATTGCAAGGGAAAAGGCAGTCACCAGTCTCCTGTGACCCCAGAATTTACCAAATAGGGAAGCTTCAAAATGGCAGACATTTGACCCACTCATCTTTGTTCTCATGGCATTAATTTCCCCCCTACCCAGATATTATAGGAGAGACTTGCTGAGGCCCATAAATATTTCTAATATTTTCATCATCTTAGTGTGAAGCAAGCTTAAGTGAATTTTTGAATTTGGAGCACCAGTAGTCAAATTCCTCCAATTGTAGGTCTGTTGAGTACTCAGTTCTGTAAAATGGGGAATAATGTATGCCATAACTTGTTACATGGATGAATAATATAAGATTTATTTATGCATGAAGGCCGCAACCCAGTGCATAGTGACAGATACCTAAGCTCTGGCAACATCAACAGTATTTGAGCACAAGCCACACTCAGAATCATCTTAGCTTTTAAAAATTAAAATAGAAGAGTGCCAATAAATTCAAATTAAGTTTATTGGGGTGCGGGGCATATGTGTGTATGCACTTGGAAAAAAGTGTCGTGGTAGAGCATCAGACTCTTAAGCTCAAGGTCTTGGGTTCGAGCTCCTTCTTGGCCAAAAAGGTTCCTGCATTGCAGGGGGCTGGATTAGATGACCCCCATGGTCCCTCCCAGCTCTGTGATTCTGAATTGAACTCATTCTGAATGTAGCTATGTAATATGGGAGGGAACGGAACAGGGTGGAATGGTTTGATTGCCTTTAATAGTAATATGTTAACTATGCACATCCTTCTTCTTCTTTTTTTAAAGACACTTATTGTTGTTGTTGTTGTTATTATTATTATTAATTATGTTGTTGTTGTTGTTGTTGTTGTTGTTGTTGTTGTTGTTGTTGTTGTTATTTTAATAGTCTGAAGAGATAAAAAGCTGAATTTGGAACAATTAATTCTGAAAATCTGGACCCGCTTTTGGTCAGTGAAAATATGGTCTGTTTGTTTCCACAATTTTAACACTCCGGAGGACTCTCCCTCCTTACAATATACTGACACTACAATGCAGCTCTGCCACTAGGCCAAATGCAGCCAATCAGGGGCTCAGAAAATGTTCTTGTTTGCTGCCTGCCTGGAACTGCAAAAACATCTGGCACCTGGAAGGCCACAATGCATGTTTGATGAGGCTCCGCCTGGCTTTTCAGGTCGTAGTTGCTGCAGACCTGCTGCAGGAGAAATACTGGATAGCTGTTACCTTCCAGAATGCAGAGCTCCACCTGCTTGGTGATCTCTGGATCTGAAAATCATCATCATACTCCCAAATGGATGCTGTGCAGTCCTCATAAAACTGATGCAGGTAAGAGCGAACTCCATAGCGCTGGTAACCTCCTTCCGGGGTACCCTGCTGCGCCTGCTTGGATGCACAGATGTCAGCATAAGCACTCATCCTTCTCCCCTGCAATGAAAAAGGTCAGACAATGGAGTACCACAGAGGCATGGCACAGCTCACAGGAAAGCAAAGTAAAAATAGAGGTGACATTTTGATAGGGAAGATATCCCACGAAGAAAACCCTCCAGGCAATTGTACGATCAGACCCTTCAGGGGTCCTGATCATAGTAGTTTTCCCCTTAACATTTCACGGTGAAAGCGTCAGTACAAAAACAAGCATCTCGGGTTAAAACTATCCATCTCCCCTTAGAGATGCTCAGAATGCATTGACAGTGGAGAGCACAACCATAGAAAAGGCTGGGATTAGTTTAGGTTGACCAATTGCTGCACAGAGACTCAAAGGATAAGGGGGTGTCCTCTCATATACCATGGAAATGCATTAAGAGAAAGCAGGAATGGCCAGGTGGCTGAAAGGGTGCTGTTAACTCCCCCCCCCGAAAGTTTGGTAATGGGTCCGCCATATATACAATTGCTTCCGCAAAGAAGATTCACAGATCAATGATAGATCTCCAATAGAAAATATCAGGTTCAGTTGCTGTGAGCTACGGTTGAAAGGATTACAGTTGTGAAAGCTGGGTAATGCTATTGCTGGAGACTCTTGGGTCAAGCAACAATTCTGGGCTAGATAGAACAATGATCTGACTCAATATTAGGTGGGCCCTATGTTCAGTACTGGATCTTCCCACTTCAGCAAGAGGTGGCATTGTGTTGGGGGCCAGACACAACCTGGATGATGGGCTGGCACAGCAGAGTCCTTTGCAAAGCCAGTGTGCAATGCTGGGAGGACTAGACAGGAAGCAGGACCAGTGGCAATCTGTTTATACACCATCCTAATATTTACACCCATTCTGCTGCCTTCAACAACTCAGAAAAAAGTAAATCTCCAAGAAGTTTGGCTAGCCACAAAGGGTTTTATTTAACAGGGATAGGTTGCCATGATACTTAGCATGGCACCTATCAAAACATTTTTTTTAAAAAAAGGTTTGTAGTGGTATGGAGAAATCTAAGTGAGTCCATAGTGAATCAGGATGCGAAAACAGACATGTGGTAACACTGCCCTTCCCACAGTAGCTGTAATCTGAAGACAGGATTTGTAGCCTGCCTTTCTTTCAACATGGGTGTGATGTAGAACATGAGTAAACACTTGCCCGTATAAGCATTCAAAGCATGCAAGTGCATTGGCCAGCTTTCAGGTGAAGTTAGCCTACTAGTGATCAGTAATCCGAACAGACACACCAATGACACTGTTGCCATACATGGATGAGCCAATGCATGATTTAAGTGTAGTTAAATGTTACACAGTGAGCACAGAGTATTTTTTTATGGCTAAGCGCCTTTTGCCAAGGTCCACATCATGTCTGTTAGACCCTCAGTCTGCAAGTCCCCACCCTAGTTGATTCCCCTCTTTGTTTCTACACATAACATTAAGAGCACCCTGTTTCTTGAATGTACTCTTAAAGGGTAAGTCTGTAGCTCAGAAGCAGTGTGTATGATTTGTGGAGGTCTCTGGCTAATCGGATAGTAAGACTGGGAAGGATCTCTGCCTAATGTCTTAGGAAGTGAGCAGAGGAGACATTACTAAGCTTTGGTCTGAGTCAGACCAGTGTTCATAATTTCTCACCTTTGTAAAGAGCTTGACATCCCTCGCTGGCTGTGCTCACAGCCCCTGCCCAGAAAGATTTTGAGTTGGCTAGCTTACTGCCTTTGATCATGGACACATGCTACAGCAGCGGTGCCCCAAGAGAATGACCAGCCCTATGAAATAGGCATTTGCTTAACAGACAATTTCTCATACCTGTTGCCAATAATCAGTAGCACTGAATAGTCCTTAAAAGGTTGAACTAACTTGCCTACCAGTAACTAAAATAAAATATTCCGTTTTTAGAAAAAGCTACTTACGTTAATCCATGCGGAACTCAGAAGCAACGCTGCGGAAATTATTGTAGTTGCAGCGCAATACAGCTGTTATAATATACTACACCATTAGCAATGGCTGAGTGCCAGCCAGAAGCTTCTGCTGCAGAGCATGACTTTTCTCCCTGTGATGCATTTAGTAGGATTATATGAATCGGAAAGTGTGAGTAAGATCAGCACTGAATAAATTTACCTGGCATCCTAAAAATAGCGTGTGATTTCCTTTTATGAAACTCATTGAGACACTTTGATCTAAAGCAAGATTTCTTCTCCACAACTCCTGTTTCTAAATTTAATTTCTTATAGTGGATAAGGTTTCATGTCCTTTTCCTGTCAAGTCATTCATTTTAGCAGCCAGCTGCAGAACAGCAGCTCTGCATATATTACCTATGATGGAGAAGAGTGTCAATCTTCCTATTTAAATGATATAGAAATCAGACAGAAGTCACAGAAGTGGGCACAGACTGACTGCTGCTGCTATTTCCATCACTATGACAACAATCCTCAAATCCCTCGGATTAAATTCTTTCAAGGTTTCAGGTTAAAGTACATTACGTACTATGTTGGCTGCCTGCTATGTGGTATTTCTCCTACTGGTTGAGGAATGTCAATTCTTTATGAAAGTTTGTTTTCCTGCTGTAAAACACACATTGCTATTTCTTTGTCATGGGCACTCAAGGGATTCCAATACCTTGGAACCCCAAAAGAATGTAGCAGTTGGCATACCAGGGAGACAAACAGCTATTTTTTTATTTTAAGCATGATAATTTCATGTGCACAATGGATAGGTACGATAGCAGTTCAGCATCACTTGGGAGGATCCAAAGTTTCTCCATGCCTGACTTAAAGGATGACATGAGTAGCAATGTTACACCATTTGTGGCCCAATACTGTGAGGAGATGCACTGCGGATGTTCCCATTAGAAGGTGCAAACATGGGAAATAGGCATCATCTAAGAGAGGAGTGGGGAAGCTGCGGCTTCCAGATGTTGTAGGAGTCCAACTCTCTCTTTTTTTAAAAAAAAAAATTTTTATTAGTTTTCCAAACATGTAATAAAGACAAACAACAAAACAAAACAAAACAAAACATACACACAAATAAACATGTATAATTTCATAGACTCATTCTCCTTCACCTTGTTTCCCGGACTTCCCCATACCTCCCTTTTTCTGCATCCTTATTTTTCCCTTTTAACAGCAACCCTTCATTTCATTATTAATTCGTCTTCATTATAGCTCCCTTAAATTTATGATATACAGCTGCAATTCTCTCAACCCAACTCTCATCAGTTTCCAGAAGTATTACTGCCTCTGGCCGTGGAGACAGGGCACTGACTCCATGCTTCATGTAGGCAGAACATAGCCCCCCATCATGGCTAGTAGCCAGGTGAAGTCTTTGTTTCCTTGGGCTTTTTAATTTGTTTCAGTCTATAAGAACTGATGATGAAAACAGCAACAACAATGAGCAACTATAATTATTCAGGCAACATGAAGCCACTTTTGTCAGTGTCAACTGACTCTAGCTACAATCCGAAGAAGTGTTGAGTTGTAGTGAGTAGAATTTGCCAGCTATGCTGGCGGTTTCTGCCACAGCAGTCTTCCCTGCTGAAGAGATAAGCCACTTGTTATCCAAACCAATGTTTGTCTCTTCAACCATGGGGCCTACCGCAGCAGAAACAGTTGGTGGAGCTCTTAATGGCTCAATATGCTCCTCACCCAAGTGTACATCACTTCTTTGGCTCACAGCTCTAATTTACAATAGTAATTGTAAAGGACAACTAACAGGAAATGTAACAAAAACCAACCCAGTCAGAATGCGACCACAGCTGCACCAGTTACAGTGGTACCTCGGGTTAAGTACTTAATTTGTTCCAGAGGTCCGTACTTAACCTGAATCTGTTCTTAACCTGAAGCACCACTTTAGCTAATGAGGCCTCCTGCTGCCGTTGCACCACCGGAGCACGATTTCTGTTCTCATCCTGAAGCAAAGTTTTTAACCCAAGGTAATATTTCTGGGTTAGCGGAGTCCGTAACCTGAAGCGTATGTAACCCGAGGTACCACTGTATAAGTCTTCTGATTGTAAAGATATCCACCAGTGTCTCATCCATCTGAAGGCCAACTGGAACATCCTTGCAATTAGTTAATTAATTCAGAAGGTCACATTGCCCTCCTTTTTTCTTCCATCCATTCTCTTGTCCTTCCTTTACTTGTTGCCTTTCTGTTTTGTTTTGGCTAGTTTATTCTATTTCCTGTTCCCCCTCTTCCCAAACAGATGCTGATGCTGTCAAAGAAAACAGCAACACACATCTGTTTGGCATTGCATGTATTCCCAGTCTAATGCTTGAAGTGGCAGCCATGAGTCAGAAAGCAGTTGATGAAAATCACCGCTGAACAGTTGCCCACATCCTCACTGGTGGGCATTTGTTAGAGGCAGCCAAGCCTTGGGGTGACTCACACCCTCTGCTTGTGAATGACAAGCAGAACCAACCACAGGCAGATGACATCATCAGCCCATATCTATGTGGGGCACTCCTACACATTCACCAGCTGTGGATGAATAGGTGGAGAGCAGTAGGGCTCATGCAGTAGTGTGCCAGCTGTGCGATCCATACCTTGCCTTCACTGCCTCCAATAGCTGCTCACTAAAAATTGTGGGAAAGTCTCTTGGTTTTTAGGTCAGCAGTAGTGTCCATTACTGGCCTCCGCCTAACCAGCCTCAACTGCATGTCAGAAACTGCATGCTGCCCCAGTTGTGGGATCCGCACCCACTGCTGGAATCCATGTGTGTCAACATCTTTTTGCATGTGCATTTCCTAGTTCAGCAGGTCATGCGCCCAAAAGCTTGCATCTGCGTACATATTGCCCTTACTACACTGGAGGCTGTAAGGGTTTATGGCTTTAACACTGCAATTCCATGATGCAGTGCAGCCTCAAGAAAAAGCCCATGCACAGCATCATTAAACAGAAAGTGCCACCACCCTGACTTTATACAGCAGTCAAGACCGAGGAGGATGCAGCTTGATCAAGAACGCAAGCCCCACAGGTGTTGAACAAAGGCCCAGGCCCTTACACTGAGTCCCTTGAGCCCCAG